GTACTGCCCCGCATTACAACACCACCATCACAACACAAGTACTGGATCACATTAAAATACCACCATCATAATACAAGTACTGCATTACATTACAACACCACCATCACAACACAATTATAGCATCACATAACAACACTACCATCACAACACAAGTACTGCACCACATTACAACACCACCATCACAACACAAGTACTGCATCACATTACAACAACACCTATAAAAATATTTTGAAAATAATCGTACATATTTGATATTTTTCGAATCTAATTGAGAATATTTCATGAGAACAAGTAAGATTATATTAATGTAATCAACAAAAACATCTGAAATCTAGAAAGGCACGAAGAATGAAAAAATTAAGAGCTTAAGTAATGTTGAAACAACGGGTATTTGTTTTTTACGGTTAGTTTCGCTATTATAACCTAAGAAGTAAGTCACCGAAACGTTTACCCAAATAACACAAATGAGCATCCTTTGTTTGACGTAGTTGGGCATGTATCCAAAACGGTGAACAGCCAGATCTCGAATCTGATCCCTTTCCTCAACCAATCGTCCGAAAACTCCAAGTTCCCACATCCTGCTCAATGACGAATCACCTTTCTCGTAGTCTCTCATTAGAGCCTGAAAACGTTGAATAATCGTTATAAATAATCGAATAAACGTTGAATTTACAGTAAATGAAATTATAATACAAAAAATGTATACTGATTTTAGTTGTTTTTAAGCGCAATAATTCCTTGATCTAGAGAGAACTAACCAGTTGTGATACCGATCTAAGTACAATGAGTTGAATAAATTATAAGGCTGGAGCTATAGGACTAGTCTTATGCAGAACAATCCATCAAAAAATGAATGCTAATATAATATGTTATTAGCAAAACATACTGTAAAAAAAATTGAAAAATCCATTTTGTTTCTCCTGTTCAACGAAGTTCTACATATTGTGTCCTGGGTAAATTTGGGATGCATATACGTTTCACGTGCTACTATAGCAAAATTTATAAACTTTAAAACATTAATACAACTGTCTTGTAATGATTTGTCATGTCCTGGCGAAATTGGATTATTTTACATTTAGCCATGTAATAGTTTGATACACACACACACACACACACACACACACATATATATATATATACCTTTTATTGCTTGAGTTACTTGACTGAAATGATTTAATTTTTGATGCATATTAGACGAAAAACAAGAGGGAATCCTCAATAGCCGTGGCACTTGAAATTATCTTAGGCCAGATTAGAGTAAATTAATGTATGACTTACCTTTTTTTTTACTACATGTATTTTTGTACGCCAGAAATATCAAGTGTGGGACGCGCGTATAACCGATTCGATTTTATTACTTATCAGGTTTGTTACCAGCCTACCCTCAAATTGAAATTATTTTAGGCAGGATTATAGTTAAATTAATCTGGGAGACATTGAGCGTGATCAAATACACCATTCGAAAGGGTCGGAGACCTCCTGAGTCCAAAACTGTAATTAGATCTCAAATTGGTCAAGAGATGGCGGAGCTATGAGCTAAAAGTTTGTACTTGAGAAACTCAGAGCAATTCTATGAGCCGATATGCCGCGGCTAAAATGTCAGTACACTATAGATAACTTTAGAAAAAACGACTGAGTTGACCTATTGAGTTATATCAAATTTTTCTACAAAACCTTAATTAATTATGCAGCACACTTAAAAAATCAAATAAATGTGTATTCCGTTGTAGTGTTTCTCTATACTAATAAATATTTACTTAGAGCCAAGGATATTTTACTCTGCCCCTATATGTCATACAAAACATATCACCTTCAGTAAACAATTTTTCTGGTTTGTCTAAGATACATTAAGTTAATATTGAAAGGGAATAAAAGCTGCTTATTATCAAAAATAATTTAAAAACATTGTTATTCATCGTTTGGAGATTTATTTTAGCAAAACTAGCAAAGCATCCGCGCCAAGCGCGGTATTTATTTTGTTGTTTAAACGGAGATGGCGCGCATATGCGTCATTCGCCGGCAGTAGCAAGGGGGGGGGGAGTTGAAATGTTTGTGAAATAAGTACTAATTATAAACTGATTACAATAAGGAGTTTCTGAGCTCTTCTTGGCCATACCCAAAAACCCCTGAGAATTTTCTGACGACCAGAGGCCTAGAAGTTCGAAAACTTTCGTTGGTATAAGAGACACAGTACAGTTTCATAGTTTATTATTATTATTATATATATATATATATATATATATATATATAT